TTTAGTTTAATGTATTCGCTATTGGTCTTCATATTGTTCATTGTTACTTGATTGAATCAATTGTTTGGGACCAACAGGCTAGTCTACATTCTTGATGAATGGTCTACATTCTCAGCCGATAGAAATCGTTTGGGATAGATGTGAGTTAAGGATTAAATGTGCGAATAAAGCAATTTAACTAATACTTTAAGGTGTGATTCAAAAAAAATGTACACTTAGATGTTATTATATGTACATCAGCGTTATTTAACTAATATTTTTTTTATTGGCCAAACTAATAACATTTTTTTGAACAAATTTGAAACTTAGTTACATTCCTATAATCTTTTTCCAATCGGGTATTATAGCAAAAAATTAAGAGAATTTCAATTTTAACCAACAAAATCGCAGGTGATTAAGCTTAACTATGATTACGCTTTTATGAGTGGCGAACTCATTTCAATGGCATATGAAATTTACCAGTTTACGGCACATGAGCCCAGAATATATAAACCCTAAAATTTTGAAATAACATCATCATTTTAATGTTTGCATTGAAGTTGGTCTTGTTGAAAGAATGACACTAATCCTCAAACTTATAATCATTTTAATGTTTGTTATTTAAAATATATAATATAGCCCGAAAGTTAAACACTATGCACTTTATAGCCAAAAGTTAAGAGAATTTCAAATATAGCGATCAAAATCGCATGTGATAAACATGTGATTTCGCTTATATTATTTGCAAACTCGTTATAATGGTATATGAAATTGGCCCATTTTTTGCACATATAAGCCCAAATATATAAACCCTAGAATATTGAAATAATATCATTATTTTAATGTTTGTCGTTGAAGTTGGTTTTGTTGAAATAATGAAATTAATCCTTCAAATCTTTGTTAACTTCCAACTTAATGTGTTTGAGTATTTTTTATTATGTTTGTGAAAATTTCTAAAATTGTTCTTGAACTGCAAATATTAATTGTATGTGAGAGAGAGAGGTTGAACTGCAAATATTAATTGTATGTGAGAGAGAGAGGAAGACAGAAAGAAAGTCAAAAGGAAGAACAGTGGGGTTGTTATGGTTGGGTGATTTGTTTTTTATTTTTTTTATTTTTTTTTATTTATATATATATATATATATATATATATATATATATATATTATATATATATATATATATATATATATATATATATATATATATATATATAAAAGTATTAACGTAAAAATAAAAAAAAATAAAATAAGTATAAGGTTAAAATAGACATTTTAATTTTTTTATGAGCAAAATCATGAAAATTTGTTGTTTTTAGAAATTCAATACGAGTCCGAAACTTTTTAAACTGTATTCATAGTTTTTAGGGGTAAGAATAATAATCGAAAAATCGAACCAAAACCAAATTAACCAATATAATCAAACCATAATAACCAAACCATTTTAAAAACGTTGGTTCGGTTTCTGATTTTTGTTAACAAATAACTAATGGTTCGGTTATGGTTTTATAGGTTAAGTAAACCATTATTAACCGAACCGCTAACTTTATATTTTAATATATAAAAATTATAGATTATATATAAAATAATATAATCAAACTTATTTAAGACCTATTAAACTTTCAAAATATAATTCATTAATCCTCACTTATTAGGAGACGAACGAGCAATCAAATCATCAAATATTGTTTTGACTTTATAGACGTATTTGAAGAATTTTTTGACTTTATAATCAAGAATTCTAAGTAAGTTAAGTTTTTGGTTATTTTTTGACTTTGTGATGTATTAAGAATGTATTTTTTTAAATTATTTGTTTTTTTTATTTACTGTTTTTGACTCAATCACATTGAATGTATACGAGTGATTCACACATTTTTTTTTTTAATCTAGATAGCGCATAATATGAATGTTTGACTATTTTATTTTATGGTTTTTTATTTAATCGCATTGAACATGTATGAATATTTGACTTTATTTTAATGTTAATATTAATTATCAATATATGAAATTATTTTATTAAATGTTTTTTATTTTAAATGTGACTATGTGTTATATCACCCTGAGTATCAAATGTATACATTTTTTCTATTACTATAAGGTAGATTATAAACATTGGCATCGATGACTTTTTTTATTCTCTTTTCATTTTTAATGCTAATATGCTTTCTCCATTTATATTAATTTGAACATTATGGTTAACCAATATTTACCATTAAGCAAAACCGTTAACCGACAAAAACCATTAACCATAACGAATATTAACCATACCAAATGGCTACCAAAATGCATTAACCAATCATAATGACTATGGTTCGGTTTTGACCAATAACTAAACCAAACCGGCCCATATACACTCCCTAATAGTTTTTAACAAACCACCGAACCAATTTTACAATTTTGTTTAAAACATAAAAAGTTTCCATTAATCTGAACAAAATAATAAATGCACAATTATTTTATTCAATAAAATATTAATAATTAAAAATTTTCAACACTACACTCAAGGGATAAAGTTATAACTTTCTTTTAACAGAAAATGATTATTCAATAAAATATTAATAATTAAATATTAATAATTAAAAATTTGAGATTTATCTGATAGTTTTCCTACATGTAAACTTAAAATTTTAACGGTTAAATTTATAACTTTCTAAAAACACTGAAAAATTAAGGGAAATAATTTCAAAGGGTTTGTCCATAAGAACACTCCCCACCCTTTCCATTTATCTTCATCACCCAGTGGACGTCCGCGGTTGACTACACAAACAAGACCTACTGTTCCTCCTACTCAAGATCCAACGACTTAATATCCTCGTAGACATAGTTTTGCGACGTCTATGTCAGATTATAATGGGTCTAATCAGTTTGATTTAAATCAGGAACCAAAGATGCACAGTACATTTTCATTTCAACAACCTTCAACATTTTACTAAATTCACTTATGAGTGAAATTCCAAATGAATTTCATCCATACTTTACAAACATCAATACGCCCAGCGTACTCGTCTTCCACAATTTCATTTAAGGCAAAACTTGACAACTAGAAGGAGAAGAAGTGCTAGATAAATATACCCCAAATTCCCGGGTGTTACATTTTGAAAGCAAAGGGACCACGACCATCTATGATGTTTTGAAAGCACATGGATCAAACTTCAGATCTGAGGAAACCATAGGGACCATTTATAATGTTTTTTCAAGTTTTTATTTAGGGTTTTTTTTAAAGGGAAAACATAAAAATACAATCCTAATCTACTTATCTTTTCCAGATATATCCAAAACGGAACATGAATATCCAACCTTATTGAGCGATGTCATATAACTATACTGCTAAAGACAAACACATTCTTATCTAAGTTAGTAAACGAATATGAAGTTTTTCTATCAAAAATTTAAAATACTTGAAAGTATTTGTTTGAAGTTTCGAATCATAATAATAATATAAACAGTTAAAATAGTGTAATTTTAAAAATCATGAAAATATCATGCAAATAATAAGACCATGACATAAATACATAGCAAAATGACAGAAAATACCATACATAATATTTTTTTTTTAAGATTATGATATAAATAAATAGAGAGGAAAATAAATGTAATAATTATTAAAACTAAAATTGCAATTATAAACATTGATATAAAAGTTATTTAATCTAAATCAAAAATAAAATAAAAATATATTTAATTGTGTCAAAATGAATAGAAAGTTGACGTTAGGATGGATGACTATTGCATTTTTTATATTTTTTTTATTTGATTTGATTGCCGGTGGTTTTGACCATTGTAAATGGTTTTCAACCATGGTGTCTTTAGAATTCCCCTACACTCAACACTTATCATGACTTGTCTAAAAAAAGTTTTAGTTTTTGTGTCGAACCAAAGAAAGGTTTTAACATATCGCTTTTTAAAAGATAAAAATAAAAATATATTATGATTGCCCTTCCTTCTTCGTTGACTTTCTCCTCGTCGTCTAACCACCGTTCCTTCTCTATCCTCGAAGCTTCAGCCTTCAGGTCTTTCTGTCGTCTTGTACGCAGGTAACTACGAAAGCATATTTTTACAATTTAGTTTCACTTGTTGTTTGACAATTTCATCTTATTAATCAAAAACCACATCATATTCATCGATTCGTTTGTTTGTTCATAATTAGGCGATTGAAATTTCGTTTATCTCAGTTACTTTTGTTTAGTATTATGATTCAATTAAGATGAGATTCAGTAATCATATTCTTGGGTAAAGTCCAGAATGACGAACAAATCTTTCTGCACAGTGGAAAATTTTCAGTCCTCGAAAATTACTCCTTACTTCCTTTATATTTTCCAATTCGTAAACAGAAATTTTCACATATGATTCGATATCCTGAAAAGTAAGCTAAACACTGATTCTTAACAGGATTTAATATTCGATTGTAAGAATTATTAATTGCCTGGTGATGCTCTATCTGTGCTAAAATTGCTGAAGTACTCTGGGGTGTTGTAGTCCTTGAATCAAAATTAGAATTTTTATATGCACAAGTCTAGATCCTAAATCAATCAAGTAATTCTCACTTTATGTGCAAAATAAGCTAGATTAGGTTTTTGTTTTGAGCTAAAAAGTTCATCAGGGATTTCTTTGTAGTTTCAATACCTAAATGTTGGTGAGCTTGGGTTCATCATTTTGGTAGCTCTTTCATGTGGATGTTTTAATTACATGTAACATCTGGTTAACTCAAAACCTTGTTCCTAGGGGCATTATCTCCAAAGTTTCATAATAGTATAGAGTTTGAAATCCAAATCTTAGAAATGGAGCGACTTTTTGTTACAAATTTTTTTTTTTTTGAACAACTCCATCAGAATGTGATGCTAGTCATTGTGATAGATATATATTCAATAAATTGTTTAACTTAAGTTGCATAAAGTATTAATAATTTGGATTTTATGCACAGAAATTATGCGTGGTATATCTAGTGATTGAGCTACAAGTGAGGAAACTGGAAAGCTTCACAAAGCAATACTTATTTTCTGAGAGACACAAGGACTAACTCATAATGGTTGTTCTCTCTGAACTTTTTGAAGGATCTTCATCTTCTTCATCAACTCATGGTCATATATATGACGTATTCTTAAGTTTTAGAGGCCTTGACACTCGTAATAATTTTACTGCATACCTTCGTAAAGCCCTTATGGATGCCAATATAACTACCTTCTTGGATGGTGAAGAGATTGAAACCGGGGAAGATCTGAAACCGGAATTGGAGAGTGCGATCAAAGCATCTAGGGCTTCTGTTATCGTGTTATCTAAGAATTATGCTTCTTCCACATGGTGTCTTGATGAATTGGTGCTGATCCTTGAGCAACGTATGAAATTCAATCATGTTGTAATCCCTATTTTTTATCATGTTGAGCCCACCGATGTCAGGAAGCAACAAAGTAGTTTCGGAGATGCAATGGCTAAGCATAGACAGACAATGGAGTTGGAGACAAATGCAAATAAAAGAAGTAAATGGGCTCAAAAGATGGACCGATGGAAGAAAGCGCTTACAGAAGTTGCTGACATAAAAGGGAAGGACGTAAATGGCAGGTAAACACTTTTGTTCATATTTCCATACTCCTTCAATTTAATTTCTCAATTTGGTTTGTAAGTTTTGTGGATTGTGTTTTGTACTTATTAAAATCAATTTTTTTCAGGATAGAGCCGGAGGTTATTGAAGAAATTGTTAAGGATGTTTATCATAGATTACGTGTACCCTTAAAGAGTCCTCTACCACTACTTATTGGGATGGAGTCTTCAGTTAAATTCATCACTTCATGGTTGAAAGATGCATCCTCACATACAGTAAATATACTCACTATTTTGGGTATGGGCGGAATTGGGAAGACATCTTTAGCCAAATATGTGTATGGGTTACATTGTCGTGAATTCCACACAAGTAGCTATATTGGGGATATTAGTAGGAGATGTGATGAAAAATTTAGTGGGTTGCTTGATTTACAAAAACAACTCTATGATAACATTTCAAAAACAACATCAATTCAAGTTCATGATGTTTCTACATACACCTCAAAGATAGAGAATTTAGTAGCTCGTAAAAAGGTGCTTCTAGTTCTTGATGATGTTGATAGTCTCACTCAGTTGGATGCATTACTTGGAAGCAAAGGTTTTCATCCAGGAAGCATAGTTATAGTAACAACAAAGGATGCATGGTTGACAGAGAGTTGTGCACTATTCAAAACGAACCTTAAACTCAAACATAAAAAGCACGTGCTTAAAGGCTTATCTCAGATTGATTCACAAAAACTTTTGTGTTTTCATGCGTTCATGTCCAACAATCCCAATGAAGGGTATGAAGAGGTGTCAGAAAACTTTGTGATGTATTGTGAAGGACACCCATTGGCTCTTGAAATTTTGGGCAAGTCTCTACATAATCGGGATCTAGCTTACTGGGAAGATCGAATAAAACGGCTAAACAAAGAAACTGGTTCCCCTATAAATAATGTCTTGAGAATGAGCTTTGACTCTTTGCCATTAGAAAATGATAAAGAATTGTTCAAGCATATTGCATGTTTTTTTGTTGGAATAGATAGAGATGTTGCTGAAACAATATTAAAAGCATGTGATATAGACACTAGATCTGGGATCACGAATCTCATTGATAACTGCCTTCTTAGTATTGGATGGAATAACGAATTGATGATGCATCAATTGCTTCAAAAGATGGGAAGGTCCATAGTACATGAAGAATCACCAGATAAGCCATGGAAGCGAAGTCGATTATGGTGTCACGCTGAGTCATTCAAAGTGTTAAAACAAAAAAAGGTATGAGGCTATGCATACGTAAAGAAATGGCATTGTATTTCTTTTGATTTTGTTTATTATAACATTATAGATTCATATGTTCCTATTATAGCGTTGTACTTTTAAAAAATCTACCCAAATATAGTAATGTCATGTCATCCGAATACAAAGAAAATTTCACTGCTACATGTATAATGTCCTGATAAGGAAAAAGTTGAGTGTTCGATGCTATAATCGGATAGATTTATCAATGTGCTATGTCTTCACAAGTAAAAAATTGAAAGTTCAGGGATGTAATATAAAGAAATGAAGGTATGATACTATACTACATAAATAAATGAAAGTAAATTGCAACTTCTAGCATGTAGCCCTTAGTATTATGCATATTTAGAGTTCTTTGTATCGTTTATGTAACTATTTTAAAAATATTTTGTGATTCTTAGGGTAAAGGAAATCTTCTAGGCCTTGCCCTTGACATGCAAATGCTTGAGAAAGAAAAGTTGCGTGTATCAATGGAGGTGAAAACAAATGCATTGAGTGACATGGATAATCTAATGCTACTACAACTCAATTATGTACGACTTATTGGGTCTTATGAGAACTTTCCAGAAGAACTAAGATGGTTGTGTATGCATGGATTCCCTTTAAAGACTATACCTTTAGACTTACCAATGGAGAATCTCGTTGCTCTTGACTTGTCTTATAGCAATATTGAATCATTTGGCATTTGTTATAGTAATTCACATCAACATGATAGTAGTCAAAAGGTAATTTATCTTCATTTTTTTTCATCCAATTTCAAGTTGAATAAATTCATTACAATTCTACCTTATTTCCATTTCAGCAATTGATTGGATCATGCTCAAAAAATAAAAGGTTGCTTGGATCATTGAAGATTCTAAATTTAAGTTTCTGTGAACAACTTCGTAGTCTGAGTGCCTTTGACGAACTCTATGCACTTGAGAGGTTAATAGTTAGAAATTGCTCTAATTTACTTGAGGTTTCTGACTCAATTGAGCAATGTTTTGAACTAATCCTCATTGATCTGAGCTATTGCATCAAGCTTGAAAAACTTCCAAGAAGCTTAGGAATGTTAAAGAAAGTTAAAACACTATTGCTAAAGGGATGTAATCTTGGCGAACCCCAAATAGATACTAGAGACATGTATTCAATGGAAAAGCTCAAGACTAACAACATTGACATAAGCACATTAACCTCTTCCTCTTCTGTTCTTGAGGCTATACCAAGGGACTTGAAGTTCTTTGCAGTTTCTTTACCTAGATCTTTAGTAAGCTTGTCACTTGAAAATAACAATTTGTCCACCGAATCCTTTCCCATGGACTTTAGTTGCCTATCCATGTTAGAGGAATTATATCTAGATGAAAATCCTATAGTTTCCCTGCCCAATTGTGTGAGAAACCTTCCTAGGCTTCAGATACTTAGCATGCAAAACTGTAATTCGCTGACATCAATCGAGCATCCTCCACATACACTAAAAGAGTTGATCCTCTTTTCTGATTATAAGCCTTTGCTACAAAAAGTACTATTTGATCCAAAAATGTCCGCACTCAAGTTTTTAATAGAGTGGAAGATGTTTGCAACTTCATCGTTTGAAATTGAAGGGATGATCAAAATCCAACCAATGGCAGGAGTTGAGGAAAAGGTAATAAGTAGTTTGAGCTGGACTAATCTAGAGTTCCTCAATGAAAGACGTGTGGCAACTTCTACACGTGATAGAGGATATGAAGAATCTGAAATCCAGGTTTGCTGTAGCTAACTATATGTCTTTGTGTGAATATATAATTTATGGTGATTAATTACAGTGGTTGTATTTGGCAGATGTATTATGAATTTGGAATATTCAGCACAATTTTTGGAGGCGAAGAGATGCCAAATTGGATTACAGATATAAGCATGGGGCCATCAGTATCATTTTTCATCCCTTCATCTCCTAACAAGCTAAGGGGATTTAATTTCTGCTATGTTCTGGCATCTCGATTTCTCAATGAGAGGCATGAATTTGTAGATGAAAAGTTCCTTTATTTGCCAATGATTATGATTAGAAATAAAACAAAGAGCCAGACCTGGATATACGAACATTACATTGGAAGAGTTAGTGTTGCTAGAAAGTGTTTTACTTTGTTAAGCCATTGGATGTTTGGGTGGAATGAAATGGAAGGTGGTGATCACATTACTATTACTGTGAGGGACAACCCATTTCATGTTGGTAAGCAAGTTACAAAGGAGTGTGGGGTGAGTCTTGTGTATGATGATAGTGAAGAAGAGGATGCATTGAGTTATTACAAATCATGGAATCACATCATTGGTGGAGATCTCACTCCATTTCAGGTAAAAACAGGAGAATACATTCTAAGCAAAAGGCGATTAATGCTGCCTTATATCGAAATGGATACAGACGACGTCCGCTTTAATGGTAGATATCATTCTTTTCTGTTACATTCTTTTTAAATTTTTTTTAAACGGGTGAAATTGCAAACTTTTTATCTAGTATTTGTGTGGCAAGAACAAGTGAAATCACACAACCAAACTCACTGTTTACTAATATCAGATCTTAATTTTTCAAGGGAATATACTTGTCTCTTTACATAACAATTAACACCCATAAAATTTATACTTTTTATTTCTTTACATCAGGAAAGAACTTCGGCTTTAGAGCTTTATCCCAGAAGTAGTCCGAAATACTTGGTCATGCATGGGAGGTATGCTTTCTGTCCCTAAAACCTTTCTCTTACCACATGAATGAAAGACATACACAACCAAATATCTTAACATCAAAGTTCCTGATCATTCTTCCAGGATATAACAAGATAAAAGGAGTTGTAACCTTGCAATGGATACTTGGAAATGGCAACATCAAAACCTAAGGTATGTTTGCTAAACGTTGGCATGTAAAGCACTCATCCTAACATATTAGAAGCTTTAACCCCTCAATTTCCAATAGTCGAGTTTGAGTTCAATGCCTTCATTTTGGGCTTTGAGTTTAGTATTTTTGGTTTTTATCAGGATAAACTGCAAATTTGGTCCATGTGGTTTGCAAAACGCTGTAGGTGGGTCCAAAATCTTTTCAACTTGCCCCAATGGTCCAAAAGCTGAAATTTTTTGTGGATATGGTCCCTCCTTTTAACTTCTGTCTATGGAGAATCGTTAAGTAAAACACGCATGCTCAATGTCAGCGCATTTTTGTAGTTTCAATCCTGGTCCCTTTTTTTTATTCTTTTTTTTTTTTTTTTTTTCCTTTTAAACTCCTTCAACGTGTCTTTCTTATCTTTCATCTTCATGCATACCAGACCAAAACCCATGGCTTTCAACAATGCTGCTCTGTTTTTATGGAAACATGGCTGTTGTGGGAACGTCCTGGACATCTCTCAACTGTGGTCGCCCACATGCCCTAAACATGTTATTAATTTCAAAATATATTATGGGTTTTACTTCGATTGTAGATTAATCCTTCTACTGAAATTTTGTAGGATTCTAAATGCGGGTTTATTGGTCGTATCAATCCAATAATATGTTAAAGATAAACTGATATAATACTTGAGTTGATGAGAACAATCAACATGCATGAGGTGTCTTTGGGGAATTGTGAGATGAAGCAATAAAATTGAAGTTGTATTTGGTTACAACCTGAGTGTTGTTCCTAGTTTTTATGTTCTTTTAGAATTAGGAAATGGATGTTAGGGTTTAGTTTTTTTGAAAAAAAACCCTAAATTATGTTTTTTGTTGTTGAATTAGGGTTTGATTTTTGTAAAATGATTTGAAAGGTGTAATGATTTGGTAACATATTTTAATGTCAACCATTGTCTCATACTGTTTCTTTAAGTTGTTGTGTATTAGTAAGTTACTGACGTACTCATACATAGATTTGATTGTACATCAAGTAACACTAAAACTGACAATAGCATATGTTTTGTAAATGATATAAACTGCGTTTCATCAAATATGACATAAGTATATACACTCACTATGTGAAGAAACTCAAATGATTCCAACATCAATAGATCTTATTTTTTATTGGTATTAAGACCTAGTTGGTTTTCATCAAACTTACAACCCACAACTCACTACACACTCCCTCTCACCCATATAACTACTCTAAAGAAGAAATTAAGCAAGAACAATATCAGATAATCAAGGTTAATGAACTAACTAAAAGTTAACCCTAACAAACCTTAAAGATTTGGTGAACAAGACGATAGAGTAATTTGTGAATGAACTACATACAAAATTGATGTGATGTATTTTCATTCGATACAAACAACTCTATATATAGTGTATAGCCTAAACATGGAACGTATTTGAACCCAATGTGAGACAAATATGTATATAGTGACAAATAGTCATCAGCTCTTCAAATTAGTAGCTTCCAAACTCTTATGTGCAGTTTCCTGTTGTACCTCCAACTTTAAGTACGACACACTACACTTGAACTCCAAAACTAATCCATCAAGTTCCTAGAATTTAAACTTTTGTCCCCCAACATTCTTGCACTAACCGGATTATGTAAGTAGTACCCATACTTGTTCGGTGGTTAAGATTGTAAGGAAATAGACATTATTTTCAGCACATAAACAAAAGAGATAACCAAAAGGGCACTACCATTAAACCTTTTCATGACCAATATGATAATTACATTCAACATGTTCATAAGTAGACCATACACAAAACAAAAGTTCATCCATAGTTAAAATAGTATTTTCATAAGTACACCTAAATAACCAAAGACAAAACATATAAACAACCATAGTTTTCAAAAGATATCCATGACAACCATACTACAAAAACCACTACCCTTAACCAATACCACCACTACCTAAATTCTTGGTTGATTGCCGCATGCATTACCTCCATGGCCATTGCATTTTCTTGAATTATGAACCTTGTGCTTTCACTTACCACATGTCACACACACAAATTTGCTAGTAAGTTTTTTACTTTGATTTTGACTCCCTTTCTAACTTTGACTAAGATTCCTTTCACCTTCACTTTGCTTTCTTTTGTTTTTAGGTCTCCCTGCGAAGTTGTGATGTAGTGGACGGTATTCCTTGATGTAAATATGCCTCTATCATGTTAATTTTTTACTCATTTGATAGATTCTTGCTATTGGTTATTTTTTGGTTATTTATATATCATTGATTCACCGTTTCAAGAAAGTGTGGTGGATGGTAATAGTCATTGGACATTCAATCTGTAACACCCCATTTTTGCCTTATAGTATAAACAATCAGTCATGTAAATAAATCTCTTTTACAATATTATTTAGGATAAATAATGATAGCTTCATTTTATTACTTTTTTCCTAGTTTATTTTAGTACATTCCATCTCATTTTACTTAATATTCATGCATATTTTCTCTTTTTGTTATTTTTCATCTTTATCAGGTATTTTCTATTATTTTGAGCCTAATTGCAAGATTTATTAAAGACTATTCAACATAGAGGCATGGAGGGAATACATGACCTTTGGAAGCTTGTGGTTTACTTATGGGCTAAAAGTGGTGCAATTGGGCTTATTGTTAACATGATGCTGGGGCAAGTTGGACTTAATATTGGTTAAAGAATGATGATGATGCGAATAGAATTTAAGCTATAAACGATCAAAAGAGTAATGGACCATCTTGGAGGAGTTTACAATGTATATTTGGGCTATCAAGAACCTTACAATTGGGTTGGACAAAGATTTGAAGCATTGGAGAAAGAGACCCACCTAAAGATGGACAAAATTGACCGATTCAACACTTATATGCAGACCACATATACTCGCCGACCGTCCGCGTGCAACGTGCAGTGAAGAAACAAGGTTTTGTGCTTTTGCCTCTGTTTTGGGATGGTTGGTGGTTGACTTTTTATACAATTTTAGATCTAATTTTTTCACACTTTCTCTGGAGTTTTGAGGTTGAAGAAACAACAACAACATTTTGAAGAACGCCATCTTTTCACTGTTAAATCTTGCTACATGTTTGGTACAATTTGTTTTTATTTTAGTTTCTTGAGTTTAGCCATGCTAGGATAAACTTCTGGATAAACTTCTATTGGTTGACTTGGATGTAATTGCTTGAATGATTTGGTTATTTTGAAGAACTCCATATACGAACTTGTGTTGAATATCTATGATTATATTTTCTATGAAAACTTCCTTCATGTCTATATGTCTCTAGTCATAAATATTTATATGTGAATGTTATTTTTGTTGGTTAAATTATTGGCTAAGTAATGGGACTTCAATTTAACAAGAAAAAAAAATGTTTGTTTACATTTCATTTAGACTAAGACAATATTTTCTCCATAGTGGTAATGAAAGCAATAGATTACTCTTTAGATTTGGTGACTCTTAAAACCTAATGCTAATTGATTTTCACAAAATTACATCGCCAGGGTTTATACAATAGACACTACGTCGCATAGTCACCAGGGTTTAGGCACTAAGTCTCATAGTCGCCAGGGATTATACAACAGGCACTACATTGCATAGTCGTCAGGGCTTATACAACAGGCACTACGTTTCATAATCGCCAGGGTTTAGGCACTAAGTCTCATAGTCGCCAGGGTTTATACAACAGACACTACGTCACATAGTCGTCAGGGCTTATACAACAGACACTACGTCGCATAGTCGCCAGGGTTTAGGCACTAAGTCTCATAGTCGACAGGGTCTAGGCACTAAGTCTCATAGTCGCCAATGTTTACTTATATCCCCTTTCATCCATCCTTGTTCATCTACCCATGTTTTACCCAATATATTTGAAGATATAAAATACATATACAATTTAAATCATTTAAAGCATGTATAAAATCATTCATCCAACATAGATAACAAGTATACAGATAATATGCACACATAGCACATAATTTATATAAAATACTTCATATCTATGTGTAAGCTGAAAGTAACTATGCACTCACCTGATAAGGTGGTGACTCGGTATTCGGACGACACTTCGTTTACTTTAAAATATTTTCCTTCGACGAAACCTAGTATCATTGCCACTAGGGTTTAGTCTAATATTCAACGAGACTAATTAATAGTCTAGCTATTATTACTATTATATAAGCATTAAACAATACTCTTCACCCACTATGTATAGACAGGGACCATACATAAAACACCGGAGGGCAGGACCATTTTGGCATATAGCACTTCTGAAATCCAACAACCCTATGCGGCCCTTTAAACCAGATTCCCCATACCGCGAGTGGTTAAAAAGAAATTATAACGACACTTATATAACACATAATAATAGCCCAAATAATTATTATAAGGTCCTAATAACATTACTATATTTAAATAAAAGCTATAGTAGAAATAGTGTACGCGTAGCTCACTTACAACGGGTTTTTATTAAAAAATCGGGCTTCGCTGGAGCAGCGTTTCCGAGCCGAAAGCTTTTCTTCTCGGAGCCTTCGGGCGCTCCAGGGCTTCCTACTCATGCTAGGTAGGTTCTCTAGACTTGGGAGGGGTTTAGGGAGGCTAGAGAGAGAAAGAAAGGCTTATGGTGTGAAGAAATTATGAAGAGTTCATCTCTTATTTATAGGAATTTTATCGTAGAGTAGCCCCTAAGCTTCATCCGTATCTTCTCCGTACGAGCTCTACTTTCTACGTTATTTATATTCACACGTTGTTATTTACGAGTACTACAACTTTCATTTAGACCCCGTCGGCTAATTCTCATTCTAACTCAGATTTACAAAACTGTATTCGAATTCGCCGCGCTTGAATAGTAGAGACTAAGTTTCGTCCATATCTTTAACATACGAGCTCTATTCTCGATGTTATTTATATCCAAGCGTTGGTATTTATGAGTACTACAAATTTCATTTAGACCACGTCGACTAATTCTCATTCTATCTCGGATTTCCAAAACTGTATCGAATTCGCCGCGCAAGAAGAGTAGGGACTAAGCTTCGTCCATATCTTTCGCATACGAGCTCCGTTTTCGACTGTATTTTTATCGTTTAACTCCTATTACAATATTTTCATTTCTCGTTTATATTATTTTGGCTAAAAATCAACCGATCTAAAATTCAAATTTCGGGCTGTGCACTGTTATGCTAAATCTTAGAAAAATCATAACTTTCTCATACGCAGTCAGATTTGAACGTTCTTTCTATGCACGCTCTTAGTTTAACATATACTACGACTTTCGTCTAGATTGCAAAGGTTAGAAATTATTTTATCGTAAATTCACTTTTTATGATTCCCGGTTTCGTGCCGGTTTTGCCGTAAAACTTCGATGGGTCATAACGTCTTTGTTATAACTCGGATTTCGGCGTTCTTTATATGTACGGAACCCTTGTGACATATAATATAACCTGGTTAAGATTATTTATTCGGGTTATTTCCATAAAAGACCTTGTATTTTGATTTCTTTTCTTTTTAAACCTAAAACATTTTTCTTTTCCGAAAAGACCCAATTTTTACATGTTACTTGTTATTTTAGACTCTAGCAGGTCACCAAAAAGGAAATTAAGTATTTTTATTTCATAAAAGAACGAATATTTTTTACTTTTGTCCAATTTAGACCTAAAATATTTTTATTTTAAAATAAACTCAACTTTAAAATTGGTTACAACCTTCAAGAATAGTTGTATAAGGTACTTCTTAACTACACCGATTTAATGAAGCTTAACTTCATCTATACATAAAAAAGTGATTATATCATTTTAGTTTAAAAATAGACATCGATTTAAACAATGCAATTATTATGCCTACATTTATTTATGATTGAACAATTCTTTGTCCACATATATTTATTAAAAAGAAAAAGAGTAGTTGGAAAAACTATTTCTTCACTACATCCAAGTTCATGTAGCTTAA